CCGATCAATAGGTCTTGAAGATTAATACCGGACAAGAGAAATTGATTGTCTCTTGAAGCAAACCGGAGAATAATCCGATCAATAGGTGAGCGGTGTAGATGAACACCGGCTGAATGAAGGCTTCAAGTGATGAGCGGTGTATATGAATACCGCTTGAAGTTTACCTCTCCGCTCTTTCTTGCAAATTTGATTCACCTTTGATTTCCTCCTCTGTTCAATTGTCCAGAACTATGAAGATAACTTGTAAACCGTTCAAAGTAATGGGCCAAAATTAGACTGAAGCCCAAACAAAATTCAAGTGATTAAACCGGGTGAATTTTAGACGGTTTAACAAAAGAAAATGAACCAAAAAAAATTCAAAATCAGATCAAAACACTTAAAAACACAAAAACAAAAAAAATTAACAACAAAATGGATCAAAAACATTGATTTACAAAAAAAATTAAGAACACAAAAAAAATTTAAAACACAAAAAATCGATTAAATCTTGATATAAGTTGATCAAATCACAAAAATTTGTGAATAACAAAGATTCACAATTCAATTTCGAACATATTGATCATGTTTTTAACATCAAGACACAAGATTTTATGGAAAAATCGGATTAAAAACGAAAAAAAAAAAAACAAGAACACGAAGAACACGAAAAAAAAATTCAGAAATTAAAATCACTTATCTCTTTGATTTCTTCCGTCTGATTTCTTGCATCCTGCTCTGATACCAATTGTGTGTCCACAATCACTGATCAATCTTCATATTAAGCTTCCTTCAATGGCAGATTCTTAGATATTACATGTAAGAACTCAAGAACACTTGAGAGAAAAAGTCAACACATATAATCTCAGTCAAACTCTATTATTAATCTGAATATTACAATTAAGCTCCTCTCTATACTAATTACAAAGATTAAACCATATTTATATGGTCAACCTAACTAACAAAGTCAAAGTCAAAGTCAAACTAGTCTAAGAAAGTCAAACAAGCTGACTTTACAATTATAGACTAAAGTTAATCTTTCAAGACGAATACAATTAATACTGATTTCTCAGTCCTAACAGTATAAATAACTGCGGATAAACATAATCAAATAGAGGATGAACATCTCATTTTAAAATATAAAAAATCTAAAATATAATTAGAATAATTATC